CTCCAGGGCCTTTGCTGCAGGGCCTGTAAAAATCCCCCAAACTCTGGGGCTTCCAAAAATCACAAAGGCTCAGGGGCCTCTGACCATCCCATCAGATAAAGGGCCTCCAAACATCCCAAAAGCTCTGGGGCCGCCAAAAAATCCCCAAATCTCAAGAAAACAATATATCGAGTTAGTTTGACAGGATCTATTCTCCATAAAGCCATGTTGACCTGTGTTAATTACATTACCCTCCTTTAATTCTTAGCTGATCAAATCTCATATCAGCTACTCCATTATCTTGCCCAGGATCGATGTCACGGTGTCAGGCTTACGAGGACCTGGGTTGTCCCATTTACCCTTTTTTAGCTTCCTTCCAACCTTCCAGAGCTTCCACAAGGCTTCAAGACTATCAATGTGCTGCTGATCTAGTGTACTATTGGCTGCTGTGAGAGGAAGGGGCATCACTGTGGGGGGGAGGGAACATGGGTGCTGTCAGGGAGAGAGGCTGTGGGGGAGGGGTATGCTGGGTGTCACTGTGAGGAGAGGGGCTGTGAGGAGGAGAGGCTATGGAGTGTGACTGTGAGGAGGTGGCCCCATGGGGAAGTCACTGTGGAGAGGGTCTGTGAGGGGGAGGGGACGTGCGGGTGTCACTGTGAGGGGAGGGGCTGTGAGGAGGAGAGGCTATGGAGTGTGACTGTGAGGAGGTGGCCCCATGGGGAAGTCACTGTGGAGAGGGTCTGTGAGGGGGAGGGGACGTGCGGGTGTCACTGTGAGGGGGAGGGGAGATGCATTGTTAGTGATGGGAAAAGTACAGAGAAGGGCAAGAAAAATGATGGCGGGTATAGAACAACTTCCACCTGAGGACAGATTAAAAAGACTGGAACTGGTTATCTTAGAAAAGAGACAATTAAGGGGGCATGTGCTAGAGGTCTATAAAGTCAGGAATGGTGTGGAGAAAATGAACAGGGCAGTGTTATTTATGCCTTCAAATAACACAAGGACAAAGGGTCACCAATGAAATGAATAGGCAGCAGATTTAAACCTAACATAAGCAAGTACTCCTTCACGCCACACACAGTCAACCTGTGGAACTCATTGCCAAGGGATGTTGTGAAGGCCAAAAATATAAGGGCTTGTCTACACTGCTGCTTAAGTCTATGTAAATTATGTTGCTCAGGGTTGTGAAAAAGCCACCCCCTGAGCGACGTAACTTACATCAACTTGAAGCAGTGTCTACACCAATCTATGTTGGTGGGAGACACTCTCCCGATGATACAGTTTCCACCTCTCATTGAGGTGAAGTGCTTATCCCGACGGGAAAGCGCTCTTCACCAGACACACTGCAGCAATGCTGCTGCGCAGATATGGTATGGTAGCATAGACTAGCCCTAAGTGCATTCAAAAAAGAATTAGAGAAGTTCATGGAGGATCCGTCCATCAATGGCTATTAGCCAAGATGGGCAGGGATGCAACCCCTGCTTTGGGTGTCCCTAAACTACTGACTGGTGCTCTATCCTGGATTCTCAGATGTCTGTGAGTGTAGAGAGAGAGAAAGAGTCACACACACACACACATATACAAATTTGCATTTATAATCACTGGAGTCTTGGCACAATGCCCAGCTGATTACACAAAACAAAACAAACAAAAAAACCCTGTTAAATCTGTTGGAAAATAAGAGTTGGTCTAGTTCGCACAATCCGTGCACACACAACTAATCCCACTGATTTCAAAGACTAAAGTCCGAAGGATTGGGCCTAGTAGCAATGCTTTCTACACGTAGGGCATGAAACTATATTTGAAACATTGTTTGGATGTAACAATTTATTTGAGAATTGAACAAACCAATTTAGTTTAATACCAGGTGCATGTTGTATTCTGAAGCAGTCTATAAAAAATAATGATTAGGTTTGTTGAAAAAAGGTAACAAAGTGAACAAATGATGAGGTAAAAATGGAGAATTGTGGTTAACAAAAAACCCTAAACAAACAAAACACAATAAAATATATTAAACATACATGTTTTCTTCCAGTACATGAACATGCAGCACAGCACCCGGTAATACTTTTTTTTCACTCAGTGGGGCTAATTTTTATTCTTATATTCAAATTCTGTTTGTATTCCTGCTAATTCTGAAAATACACTATGCTACTGTATAAATTAGCATAAGAACACAATCATTTCACTTTCAGTGGTGCTTCTGTATTCTCTGCTGAGAAAGCTCTAACTCATCATCATACATGAAGAGGTTCTCATATTTACATATGGTCTATCACATGTTCTGTCTAGTTTAAGGAACGTGGGGAGGTGGACCCAAAATTCTTTAATCCGGACCTGCCTGGGCCACAACTGTTTTGGGAACCAAATATTTTTCCTAGTTCCAAGTCACTTACTGGGAAATTCTCTCCCCAGATCATCTGACACAATATTGACCCAACCAACTTAACAACAGTGTGATCATATCCAATTACTTCAGCTGGTTGCACCATTTGTGGTGTACTGTTGTTCACCATTTCAATATGGAGATTTAAAATACACTACTAGTTCCTTGGTAGCATGCCCAATAAATTGGAGTATTCTCTCCCGGTGACTGAAATAATTTCCTCTATGTCATCATGGAGGGATGGGAAAACCCACAAGACTATTTTAGCAAATGGTAATCTGTTTCAAAATCTGATCCACATTGTCCAACAAAATATCCAATCATGTGACCAAACGGCATTCAGGAAAGAGAAAAATCCACAATGCAGAGAAACTTACCAACAGGAGAGTGGGTTTGTGCGGGGGGTGGGGAGAAAACCTGGATTTGTGCTGGAAATGGCCCAACTTGATTATCATACACATTGTAAGGAGAGTTTCAGAGTAACAGCCGTGTTAGTCTGTATTCACAAAAAGAAAAGGAGTACTTGTGGCACCTTAGAGACTAACCAATTTATTTGAGCATGAGCTTTCGTGAGCTACAGCTCACTTCATCGGATGCATACCTTGGAAACTGCAGCAGACTTTATATACACACAGAGATCATAAAACAATACCTCCTCCCACCCCACTGTCCTGCTGGTAATAGCTTATCTAAAGTGATCATCAAGTTGGGCCATTTCCAGCACAAATCCAGGTTTTCTCACCCTCCACCCCCCCACACACAAACTCACTCTCCTGCTGGTAATAGCCCATCCAAAGTGACAACTCTCTACACAATGTGCATGATAATCAAGGTAGGCCATTTCCTGCACAAATCCAGGTTCTCTCACCCCCTCACCCCCCTCCAAAAAACACACACACAAACTCACTATCCTGCTGGTAATAGCTCATCCAAAGTGACCACTCTCCCTACAATGTGCATGATAATCAAGGTGGGCCATTTCCAGCACAAATCCAGGTTTTCTCACCCCCCACCCCCAGAGCTGTAGCTCACGAAAGCTCATGCTCAAATAAATTGGTTAGTCTCTAAGGTGCCACAAGTACTCCTTTTCTTTTTGTAAGGAGAGTGATCACTTTAGATAAGCTATTACCAGCAGGAGAGTGGGGTGGGGGGGAGAGAAAACCTTTTGTAGTGGTAAACACCCATTTTTTCATGGTTTGTGTGTAAAAAAGATCTTTTGTACTTTCCACAGTATGCATCCGATGAAGTGAGCTGTAGCTCACGAAAGCTCATGCTCAAATAAATTGGTTAGTCTCTAAGGTGCCACAAGTACTCCTTTTCTTTTTGCGAATTCCAGTGTAATAACCTCCTCTCGAATTTCATAGTGTATATCTAATGATTCAAAAGTCAGGAGGACAAATTCTCCCACTGCGTTTTCCTATGATCCATACAAACCTGCTTTACTCAACATCACCTCATTATTATTTTCAAAAGTTTTAGCATCCTTGAAATGGGGAAAAACAGGCAGCCTTTCCATCCGCTCAGCAGGAAAAAGCCCCAAAGTCACTTTTTCAAGAACTGGAAACTGGGATTTAAGATCAGAACGATCACACTGGCTTTGGGATCCACTCAAATTTCCCCTCTACATCTGTGACACTTTAATCTCCAGTCCTTACAAGTATGTGATTCCTAAGCACAGAGAGCAAAGAACAGTGTGTCACATGACACTTTGGGAGGTGGAGGGACAGAATAAATTCTAAAGCCGGAGTGGTGAGGGAGTATCATGGTGGTGATGGGGAAGGAAAGAATCCCTCCAATTCACCCTGTCTCCTTTGTGTATCACAGGCAGAAATGACACTATTTTTTTGTCTCCCTGCGCCTTCTCTTTGTTATAAATATATTTTAAATGAGAAAAATGGTACAAAAATAACAACTTTGTGCACTACCTGGAGAAAGTGAGAATAACAAGGAGTGAGACAATCTGTCCACAAAGGGTGAACTCAGTTACTCTGACAATCACTCTACTAGTGGGGGAACAATAATACTCCTGGGGGAATTCTGCGCCACTGTGCAATGCAGAATTTTGCAGAAATCAATGTTTTTTGCACACAATTTCCTTTCCCTTGCAGAGAAATGGGCTGCAATGCTGCTGGCCACCAGCAGGGGCCACTGGACCTGGCTGAGCCCTGATTGCAGATAGAAGACACTGTGGGGGTGGGGACGACGGGGGAGAGAGTAGAGAGTTTCCGGCAGCTGCAGTTCACCGCACGCCCAAGGGAAGGAGAGGGTGGTGTGCAGGAAACTCCATACAAGCCTGGGACCCAGCAACAGGCTGTTTCTCCCTGTGGATCCCTGGCCAGTAGGGGGCTGGTGTCTGGGCTGGGAGGGCCACGGCTGGGCTCTGAGTGGTAGGGGGATGGGTGCCTGGACTAGGGGGGCCACGACTGGACTCTGGAGAGAGAGGGGATGGGTGTCTGGGCTGGGAGGGCCTGTGGCTGGACTCGGGCGGGAGGGGGGGGTTGTGGGTGCCTGGCCCCCCCTGACTGGGCTCTGGGTAGTACAGGCAGAGAAACTGGAACCAGGTTGTCATAGGGGTTTCTTTAATTCTCTGCTCCTGGGGGAAATTTTGTGTGTGTCTGTATTGTTACAGTCATACTTGCTGACAGGTATTTTGAAATAAGTTACCAAAACAATTGAAACTGGCATGATCATGTAGTGTTATTTTGACAAATAAAATCTGCAGAATTTTCAAATATTGTGTGCAGAATTTTTATTTTTTTGGCACAGAATTCCCGCAGGAGTAAATATAAATGTGATGCTTAGGGTTGTCTGAACTAGGAAGAGTGATGGAGGTTAGGTCAGCTTAAGGAGAAATGTGCTAGCTAACCTCAACCACTTTACCAGAGCTGCTAACTCCATGGAAAACCCTCATTGAGACAAGGTCCAAGTAGATTTTACCTATATGTAGCTAGCTGAGGTCACCACTCTCTCCCTATCTGGGACTGATGGACATTCTTGTCAGGAGGGGCACACACTCCCATGACTTATACAGTGAAGCTACATATCAAGGAATTGATAGAAAGCACGATGGGCTTCACCCCAAAGAAGGGTGAGCGGCAAAAGCAGGCAACTCACCTGAGGGAGCTGAGGGACCACAGTGAAGCAAATGGTGCAAACAGCTTTAAAGCTCACTATTGGAAAATAGCAAATGTATTATAAAAAAAAAACCTTCGGCCAGCCGTAGCCAAGCTATTTATGGGGTTACTCTCCCTTGTGGATCCTCTGATGTGTAATAAGGTGCGAGTTCTGATTGAAACTTTTCCCGCACTTGGAGCATTTAAAGGGTCTGTCTCCCGTGTGGATTGTCTCATGTCTAATAAGGTCTGAGCTCCGAGTGAAGCTTTTCCCGCACTCCGAGCACCTGTAGGGTCTCTCCCCCACGTGGGTTCTCTGATGCTGAGTAAGGTTTGAGCTGTCAGTGAAGCTTTTCCCACAGTCAGCACAAGTAAAAGGTCTACTTCCCGTGTGGATTCTAAAATGCGTAATAAGGTTTGAGTTCCGATTGAAGCTTTTCCCGCACTCGGAACATGTAAAGGGTCTATTTCCTGTGTGGATTGTCTGATGTGCAATAAGGTTTGAGCTCACGCTGAAACTTTTCCCACACTCGGAGCATTTAAAGGGTCTCTGTCCTGTGTGGAGTCTCCGATGTCTACTAAGATGCGATTTCCGATTGAAGCTTTTCCCGCAATCGCAGCATCTATAGGGTGTCTTGCCCATGTGGATTCTCTGATGTGTACTAAGAGCTGAGCAGCTACTGAAGGTTTTCCCACACTCAGTGCAGGTGTTCTTTCTCTCTCCTGTGGGGATTCTCTGCTGGGCTGCGGTTTCCTGGAGGTCCTTGCCACTTCCCCGACAATCCCCCGGCTGTTTTCCCGGCTGCCCCTCTGGCCAGTGCTGACTCTCATGCCCTTTTCTCCGCTCACGACTCCAGTGAACGTTCTTTTCAGATCTTTCTGGAAACATCCCGGGTGGTTCCCTGTGCTGTGTATCTCCCTGCTGAGAATTCTCCTCCTCGTTCTCACTCACTGCCCGATCACCTGCTGCAACAGAGAGAGAATCCAGGCATGAGTCATCCCCTGCTCTGGGGAAGGGGGAACAAACCAAAATAGCTGCTGGAGAGATGGAAAAAATCAGGGGCGGACTCCTCCCGAACCTTTCCCCAGAGGAGAGAGGACAGGGTCAACCTGCCTCCAGGCCAGGGGAAGGGCAGCCGGGGAGGGAGCTATGCCGATGTCAGTGAGGGTGGGTGCGAAGCTGTGACCTCCTTCATGAGGATGCATCACATGCTGGGGACAACCCTAAACTCAGAGTTCACAGGGTCTTTATAGGGAATCCCAGCGCCCAGTGACAATGAGTCCTACAGAAGCTGATTCCAGTGCATATGCCCAGCCTGTCCCAGACAAAGGAATGTTGTTTTCCTGAGGCACCTTAGAGACTAACAAATTTATTTGAGCATAAGCATCCGACGAAGTGAGCTGTAGCTCACGAATGCTTATGCACAAATAAATTTGTTAGTCTCTAAGGTGCCACAAGTACTCCTTTTCTTTTTGTGGATACAGACTTACACGGCTGCTACTCTGAAACTTGTTTTCCTGTGTCTCCAATGGAAATTGAACCAGGTAATTCCTGGGAGGGCAAAGAAAAGCAATCTACATATGCCATAAACCAAACCATCAAGCTAAACCAAGTGCGTGGTGGGGTGGGGGTGGGAGGAGAGACCATTTAGCACTCATGACGGGGAATGCAGCCTGCACACCAAGGAAGCCTTCCTGGCTCTTGGCACAGAGACAACAGACTCTGGGTCACATACCCAAAGGCAGACACCCATTCTGGCATCCATTACCTAGGGGACAAAGGGGGAGCAGCACCCTTTGAGATCATGCAAAGTGGATCTTTTTGGCCTGAAAACTCAGGGTAGCTGGAATGGACTACAGCTGAGAAACCTGCTGAGACAAAGATTGGAACTTGCTGATGTTTTAAGTTTGTGTCATGAGAAAGAGTATTTCGTTTTGTTTTACCCGTAACCGTACCAGTGTCTTCTATTCTTATTTAGTATCATTGAAATCTCTGGTCTGTTAATAAACTTATTCTTGTTTTATTACAAAACTATCTCAGTGCTGTGTATTAAACTGAAGCGTGAAGTCATCAACTAAACTACCAGGCTAGCGTGGGCTGTGTCTCTTTGGAGGCAGCGAACTTAACGAGGTCTGTGAGCAGACAGGTTCAGTTTTGGGGCGACCCAAGACGGAAGGGCTGTTGGTGCCACCCTGCTAGGAGTAGCCAGGCTGGGGGAAGCCAGGGGGAGGCTGTCATGCTGTGAGCAGGCGGCTGATGGCAGAGCTCTGATCCAAAGTGGCACAGCACAGAACCACCCAGGGTTCCAGGGCAGGCAGTGACAGAACCCCTACCCGTCTGGGTGAACCCCCAAAGCACCACACTGCTGTAGTAGGACAGGATTTTCACACAGCTTGCTACTTGACTGAGGTTTACACTCCAAACACAGTTTTATTATTTTCTATTTGTTTATTTCAACAGAACAAAATGAGGAATTTTAAAGTAAGCAACAGCAAAGTAACTGCAAAGTTACAACTGGCCAGATTGGAGGCTGATCACGCAAGTTACAGGTCTATTTGGGTCTATTTGGCACTTGTTAGGCCTCAGCTGGAGTCCTGTGTGTGTGTCCTATTTTGGTCACCGCTGTATAGAAAGGATGTAGAGAAACTGGAAAGGATCCAGAGGTGAGCAACAAAGATGATCAAAAGGATGGAATGCAGCCATACGAGCAAAGGCTGAAGGAATGGGGTATATTTAGTTTGGAAAAGAGGAGACTGAGGGGGGACATGATAGCGGTCTCCAAATACTTGAAAGGCTGCCATAAATAAGATGGAGAAAAGTTGTTCTCTCTTACCACAGAGGGCAGGACAAGAGGCAATGGGTTCAATTACAGCATAGCAGGTTTAGACTAAATCTCAGGAAAAACGTCCTCTCTGTGAGAACAGTAGGACAATGAAACAAACTGCCTAGGGAAGTCATGGAAGCTCCTTCAGGGGAGGTTTTCAAAAAGAAGCAGGAGAGCCATCTGTCTAGGATGGTTTAGACACAACAAATCCTGCATCTTGGCAGGGGGTTAGACTAGATGACCCTTGTGTTCCCTTCTAAGTCTTTGATTCTATCATCAGAAAGATAAAGAGTGGGAAGCTGCAAAAACAGCATGTGGACACTGAAAATGGAAAGCCACACAGTGAGACAAAGAAAGTAAACACCAAACATGGGAAACGGACCAGAGAGCCAAACACTTAAGATGGGAGTTGACGAAGGAGACAAAGATACGATCAGAAAGAAACTCAAGAAAAGGATAGAGAGAAGGGGTATAACCTGAACACAGTGAATAAGCATGGACAGATCTCAAAGCCCACAGGTACTTCTCTTCCCAAGGAACACCCAGATGGACAAACTATGCCCTACTTACGAAGAGTCAGATTGTATCGAGGAATGCCTTACTACTTTTGGGGAAAGGTGTGGAGGTTTATGACCAGTTATTCTACCTTTTTGCACACGAACATTTCACAAGAATATGCTCTGATGAAATCAGAGAAGCCATTGAGGATAAAACTTTAGGTTCTGTTCAGGAAGCAGCCAATCTGGCTGACTCCTATGTGCAAGCCAGAGCATCTAGTGAGCACAAGACACAGAAAAAAGGGCAGAAGTCCAGGGTAAATAAGGGATCCAGGTTTACCCCTGGGAAAAGGGAGGGGTTGAGAGCAATGTTCCCTCTAATTTTTTCTATCCATGTGCGGAATTAATTTTGTTATGTGCACCAATATTGAGGTAAAGTTTATTACATATAAGCAATAAACAGGGCCATCAAACTTACAGGGGTGGGATGGGGTGGGGAGATTGCTCAAATGCAAATTATTCTGTTTCCCCACAAACAGCAGTGGAGGAAAGAGCATGGAGCTTCTTTTACCACCGGACTCCATGTCACCTCACAGCTTGAATAAACTTGACTTTGAGGGGTGACCCTCAGAAGAATCCATTTCAAAGGTTACTGGTCTATAAAAATGGGGGGGCTGGACCTAAAGTGATAAGCAATTGAATCCACTGATTGTGGATTTTTATAATACAGTAATATTGTGTACAGAGTGAGCTCTTTTCTGACAGCTAATGACACTGGCGATTAATATCTTTGCGAAATGTCTGTATTAACAGTGTATGAGTACATATGACAGGTTTCAGAGGAACAGCCGTGTTAGTCTGTATTCGCAAAAAGAAAAGGAGTACTTGTGGCACCTTAGAGACTAACCAATTTATTTGAGCATGAGCTTTCGTGAGCTACAGCTCACTTCATCAGATGTTTACCGTGGAAACTGCAGCAGACTTTATATACACACAGAGAATATGAAACAATACCTCCTCCCACCCCACTGTCCTGCTGGTAATAGCTTATCTAAAGTGATCAACAGGTGGGCCATTTCCAGCACAAATCCAGGTTTTCTCACCCTCCACCCCCCACACAAATTCACTCTCCTGCTGGTGCTAGCCCATCCAAAGTGACAACTCTTTACATAATCAAGTAGGGCTATTTCCTGCATAGATCAAGGTTTTCTCACATCCCCCCCACCCCCATACACACACAAACTCACTCTCCTGCTGGTAATAGCTCATCTAAACTGACCACTCTCCAAGTTTAAATCCAAGTTAAACCAGAACATCTGGGGGGGGGGGTAGGAAAAAACAAGAAGAAACAGGCTACCTTGCATAATGACTTAGCCACTCCCAGTCTCTATTTAAGCCTAAATTAATAGTATCCAATTTGCAAATGAATTCCAATTCAGCAGTTTCTCGCTGGAGTCTGGATTTGAAGTTTTTTTGTTTTAAGATAGCGACCTTCATGTCTGTGATTGCGTGACCAGAGAGATTGAAGTGTTCTCCGACTGGTTTATGAATGTTATAATTCTTGACATCTGATTTGTGTCCATTTATTCTTTTACGTAGAGACTGTCCAGTTTGACCAATGTACATGGCAGAGGGGCATTGCTGGCACATGATGGCATATATCACATTGGTGGATGTGCAGGTGAACGAGCCTCTGATAGTGTGGCTGATGTTATTAGGCCCTGTGATGGTGTCCCCTGAATAGATATGTGGGCACAATTGGCAACGGGCTTTGTTGCAAGGATAAGTTCCTGGGTTAGTGGTTCTGTTGTGTGGTATGTGGTTGTTGGTGAGTATTTGCTTCAGGTTGCGGGGCTGTCTGTAGGCAAGGACTGGCCTGTCTCCCAAGACTTGTGAGAGTGTTGGGTCATCCTTTAGGATAGGTTGTAGATCCTTAATAATGCGTTGGAGGGGTTTTAGTTGGGGGCTGAAGGTGACCGCTAGTGGCGTTCTGTTATTTTCTTTGTTAGGCCTGTCCTGTAGTAGGTAACTTCTGGGAACTCTTCTGGCTCTATCAATCTGTTTCTTTACTTCTGCAGGTGGGTATTGTAGTTGTAAGAAAGCTTGACAGGGATCTTGTAGGTGTTTGTCTCTGTCTGAGGGGTTGGAGCAAATGCGGTTGTATCGCAGAGCTTGGCTGTAGACGATGGATCGTGTGGTGTGGTCAGGGTGAAAGCTGGAGGCATGCAGGTAGGAATAGCGGTCAGTAGGTTTCCGGTATAGGGTGGTGTTTATGTGGCCATTGTTTATTAGCACTGTAGTGTCCAGGAAGTGGATCTCTTGTGTGGACTGGACCAGGCTGAGGTTGGTGGTGGGATGGAAATTGTTGAAATCGTGGTGGAATTCCTCAAGGGCTTCTTTTCCATGGGTCCAGATGATGAAGATGTCATCAATATAGCGCAAGTAGAGTAGGGGCTTTAGGGGACGAGAGCTGAGGAAGCGTTGTTCTAAATCAGCCATGAAAACGTTGGCATACTGTGGGGCCATGCGGGTACCCATAGCAGTGCCGCTGATCTGAAGGTATACATTGTCCCCAAATGTGAAATAGTTATGGGTAAGGACAAAGTCACAAAGTTCAGCCACCAGGTTAGCCGTGACATTATCG